CGGCAAACCTTCTGGTATAAGTCAGATCTTGTCACTACCTTATCTCAACATGGTAGTATCTGAAACTTTAAGAATGTACCCACCATTGCCGTTCGTAGATTGCGTAACGAGGGAAACTTATATACAAGATATTAAATTTCGATTTAGTTCTCGAGAAGAATACGCCAATTTATATCTCGTTACTTGATGTGCACTATGATCCAGAATACTTTCTCGATCCGGATAAATTCGATCCGGAGCGATTCACCGAGGAGAACAAACGTAATAGACCGTCATATGTCTATCTTCTGTTTGGAGACGGACCACGGATATGTTAGATAAGGACATCGGTTTTGATTACAGAAATTAGAACGGAAATAATACAGCCATGAAACCAAAATAAGTCAATTAAAGCATACACTTTTTTAAACCTGGCATGAATATATGTGAATATATACCATACTATATGTGTGTAGGAAATAATTGCAATGTGGTTTAGAGTTTTTAGATTTTGTTCAACTGAACTTTGTAGTTATAGAATTTGTGCTACTTATTATAATACCGTTAAAAGACAACATGGCATATAATGTGTAATTTTAAAAATAAACAATGCTATTCATACTTTTCTCGTTGGTTAGAGACTATTATGAGACATCTGAGGTCTATTATGAGATGTCTCGAGTAGCACAGCGCCTGTAAAGCGCTAAAAAAGAGCTTATATAACTTCTTAGCGCTTTTTTAACGCTTTGTAGGCGTTGTGTATCTCTTAGAATATCACGATATTTACTATTACATTTACTATTATGCATCCTATAGGCTTGCATATAGAATTTTTACAAACAAAACTGGAAAATATTATAGTTTTGAAAAAATACGAGGTGGTTCCATGCAAAAACTCTAATATCAATAGTTATAGAACTATCTAGTTCCATGACAGCGCTATTGGATGGTAGTATATACCATTCAACATGCGTACAATCAGCACGATACAATTAGAACAGAATGTGGACAGTTTTGAAGAAAATTAAATTATGTATTAGAGAGAGTTTCTCTTGTCTGTATTGAATACAAAAAATGAAAATGCTGATCACTCACCGTCCTATTAACCCTCTAATCTCTGCGATTATAGAAATGAGGTTAATACGTAATTATACTAGAAAATACAAACTTTTTTACAGTCGATTAATAGCCTTCAGGTTGAATATGGAGTGTAGTGCTTTGTCGACTATTACGGTAACTAGAACACAATTAAATTATATCGCCGAATAGACGAAATAAGTGTTTCTCGTAATCATGCAATTGAAAAGCTCCCACTAAATATTGAATGTAAATTCTGTAAAAGAATATTGATTATGTTAATTGATTCTGTAATAAAAATTACAAAAAAAAACACTTATAAATTTTTGCAATTATTTTTTTGCTAATTTTTTTGCTCTAACCATGTGAATATAAGAAATGAGTTTTAATAATATGTTTAATATTTTTTTTATATAAATAAAGAATAATTAAAAAAAAATTTATAATTCTTTTCGTAAAATTGGTTAGCGTAATGTTTTCCTTTACAGTCAATATTTAATAAAATATTTATAACAATTGATTGTAAAATTAAGTTTTATAATGTAATTTTACAATGTTAAAATGTTTTTTCAGACTATATCATTTTTTTTTGCTAATTTTGCTGATCTAATTAATGGCTTTAATGGATTACTTATATTTATCTACTCTACATATGTGCGATATCATAATTTGTCTTTTAAAATAAAATAGCATTGAGATATAATATAATCCGTTTTAAATCTCCATTATTTTTTATGATAAATAATTAATGGCACAACTGCTTATGAAATTTCATTAATTATTCATTTCTGTAAAAGCTACAAGTTATAATTATAAATGCAAGATATTATTATATTTTTGCAGTAACTACCAATAACTAAATCGTCGACAAAATTCTTGAAGACACGCAATGTTATCTATTTAATAACGAATTTAATTGGACGCATTAATGCATATTAAAGTTGTTATACATTGATTTAATTTGAGTGTAAAATTAAAATGCAAATATTTCGAATTATATATAAAATATATTAGATAACTAATATAATGAAATAAGGGCAATGAGCCAATTTTCATTAAAATCTTTAAATCAATCTAATATATTGCGAAGAATATCACATAATTATGGCGTTTCGTCCCAACTTCCACTACTGGACTCATCAGTAAGGCATTGTAGTGGAAGCCTACCTTAGACGCCTGTTTTAGTTATTAAATCGAGATTCTATATATACAGATATACGCGTATCAAAGCACTTGCGAGAATCTTAGCGAATATCTATAGACCTCTGATGGCGGGTCGACGTAGTAATATTCTTCGCAATATATTATTCAAAGTAATATATGTATATGTATTCCCTTCCCACCACCCCCCACCAAACTTGCGCGCCGAACAATCGTCGGTCTTGAAACGCAACTCTATCTGAAAATTCCCCCCAAATTGCGCACCGAACTATCTTCGGTCTTGAAACGCAACTTTAATAATCTGAAAATAACGTCCCCTTAATTTACTTGAAATTTAAACACATTGATTTCGCCCGCGTAAATTAAATATTTATGATAAACGGAAGGCGGAGACGATTCGAAAATCAGCCGAAAATTGCATACACTTTATGTATGTTTACTTTATACTGGCAGCTCTATTAATAATATATCAGTTACTTTTCATGGTAATATATTATTATTAGATAAAAAGGTTTAAATTTTTGAGTATCCTTTCTGAAATACATTTATTCAAAATTTAATATACATTTACTTAATTAAATTTTGCATTTAATATCTAAACATGTTAAAAATAATCATAATAATTATGATTATTAAAATAGAATGGCATTTATTCATTAACGACATAAATATAGATAGAATATATGGCAAGATATTATTTTATAACAGTCATATCGACAACATTTCTAGAAAATTGATATATTTATATCGGTTACGTAATTAAAATAAAATATTAAAATGCAGTAAAAGAAATTGTATGTATATAATCTCTTGTATATATGTATAATTGTATAAATTACTTTTTCTGATGTTTCTAAAACAAAAATATGTAATTTTACTATATTTACAAAAGTTGAAATTATGTAATCAGATTTGATCACGCCAAGTAATGGCGTGCAAAAATACTATTTTATCAATAAAGTTTTATCATTATGTTAAGTGTATGTGTAGTTCTGATGTAAGAGCACTTAATCATTTTTATCAAAGAGTAAAGCAATATGTATACAAAAATTAGTTTTTGTCTGTTTACAAAAAAAGATTGCTAAAATTTTATATTCAAGAAGTTATAATAAACATTTAAGTGCCAATATAAACTGTCTTTAATTTAAAAATAAGTAATAATCGAATAAAAGTTTAATAACTATGTAAATGTTAGAAGAAACATATTTTTTTACGTCTTGAACAAAAAAGAAGAGGAAACATATATATTTCCAGAAAAGTTTTATAACTTATAAAATAAGCAGTTTTCAATGGAAATCTCTATTATTTTCTAATTAAATTATGTTAGTTAATAAAATTTTGAATTAAGTTGTTTTAGTATACTAATAAAAAGACACATGATAAGATGCAACTTCATACACATTTTATCAACAAATTTGTTATCTGATAATGTAACAAAAATGTAATTAATGTTTATTATAATATTAATGAAAGCAAATGTGATAAAATTTTGAAATTACATTACAGAGAGACGCTAATCTATTCGAGTAGATAAAGTATTATCGAAATTATTAGAAGCTGCGTGCTTTCGAATCATATCAAAAAGATTTATAACTTAAACAATAACATTATTTGATTATTGTTTAAGAAAAGATCGGAAATAGAGGGGCTAAAAGAAATATTCGCAAATAGAAGGGATTGAAATGTATAAATATACTCGCATGTATGACGGAGAAATGTTCATTCGTTTCTTACAACTGCAAAAAGTTATCGACTTCGATTATATGAGTTGATGTGTTCCATTCAATCTGAACGTTGTGCATAATAGAAGAACATATTAATATATTAACGTTTCTTTCGGAACGTTTAGTGTATGTACATTTATAGTATATGTATATCGATTCAGAGAAAGATTTGAAACTATTGTGTGTATTTCTCGACTCTATTAAAATTTTTCAGTAAGTATAGAATGGCTATACCAAGCCATTTTAGTACCAGAATACCGTTCGTATTCTTTCGTTGTAATACTTTCCGTATGGTAAAAACGTGAAAAGTGTTAAGCCCGATCTACAATTGCGTAAACGTAGTTGTAAGTGGTTGTAGTTATAAGTTGACCAATGACAGTCGAATATTCTCCTCGTATTCAACTGTGATTAGTCAATTCTTACAACTACAACTACGTTTACGCAATTGTAGATCGGGCTTAAGATGAATATGATCAATTAATATCAACAATCAAAATTTTCACTTTTTACACTTTTGCCTTAGATAAAAAGATTATAATACTCTACAACAAAAATAAAAAATTTTGTGGTACTTTCTAAAAAAATATTTAAAAAAATAGTTCATTTAAAAGATTTTACCATATTAAAACATGTTAAGAAGATTGACAAAACGCAATGCTTTTTTGCATGAAAGCACCTTTCGTAACAGCGGGGGCATCCAATAATATGAGAGCGATTTTAAAAATAGAATCTCTATCAAATCTTTTACGCTGTGTTATTGCAATTTCACGTTATTTTTTATTCAATAAATTATTAAATGTTGGAGGATATTAAATTATCGAATGTTTAAATATTGCAGACATTTTCAAAACATCAACAATATATTTGTTTTATATAATCAGAATCTATGGCTTACAAATTAATATTTATATTAGTTGTGCTTAATATATAATATTATAACATAATATAATATAACAATTTAATAAGCATTAACGAGTGATAGATTACTATATTATATTAATTATTTCTTTTTTTAATTAAATATAAAAAGAAATATTTTATTTTTACAGGTGATTTTTGTGTACAATGGCATTTATAACGGCTTATTGGAGTCTGGACGGTATAATAGTTCTGATGACTTTCATTTTAACTGTCTACTTTTACATGACATATAAATTCAATTACTGGAAAAAGCGAGGCGTTTTGCATGCGCTACCAATATCAATTTTCGGCAATTTTACGGATTGCCTATTACTAAAGAGATCCCCTGGCTATCTTCTGAAAGATATTTATGATCAAGGAAAAGGAATGCCTTATGTCGGTTTTTATATATTAGATAAACCATTCTTGATGATTCGCGATAGGAATCTCATTAAAAATGTTTTAATAAAAGATTTCAATTACTTCAACGATCGATACTGCACACCTGACATAACTGATTCTCTGGCTTATACCAATCTCTTCTTTATCAAAAATCCAACCTGGAAACTTTTAAGAACGAAGTTGACACCAAACTTCACATCCAGAAAATTGAAACAGACATTCGAGCTGATGTTAAAATGCAGTGACAACCTAGATACGTATCTCGAATCGTTAAGCTTGGAAGGTAAGTGCTGAATTTATAGTTTGACCAAATGTCAAAAGGCATAAAAGGCCACACTATTAAATAACTAAAGCAACAATATAAAGATTACATCAGCATATTAATGGCAGATAAAGACGTTGAACTAGAAATGAAAGACTTATCCTCCAAATTCTTTATGAACATAATTGCTACTACTGCGTTTGGACTTAATGTGGATTCGTTGAATAATCCAGATAACGAATTTCGAAAATATGGCAAACAAATTTTTGAGATTGGCATTTTACACGGTTACGACTTTCTCATGGTGTTATTTATACCAAGTTTAGTTCATTTCATGAGCGCAAAAGTATACAATAAGAAAGTCACTGACTTCTTACGTAATTTATTTTGGCAAACTATCACCGAGCGCATAAAGTCTGGTGAAAAGAGAAATGATTTCATTGATATTTTTATTGAATTGAAAACATCTTACGGAGATCAGAATAGTGAAACAGGATTTAGTAAGTAAATACAATAATTCTTCAAACTAGTATATAATTAATTTGCATTAAAAAATCAGAATACTTATTCAATTTGTCTAAGTAATAATAATTTCAGTAATTAAAATTAATTATAGTAAGAATTAAGAAATAAAAATTTAAAAAAATACAATTAAAAATTTTAGAGTTTGATGGAGATCATCTATTAGCACAGGCAGCTTCTTTCTTCGCAGCTAGTTTTGAAACCTCTTCAACAACAGTGTCTTTTACTTTATACGAACTCGCGAAGCATCCAGAAATACAAGATAGGCTTCGAAAAGAAATTCTTGATGCGCTCGACCAAACTGACGGCAAAATTACGTATGACATGGTATGCAAACCATGCATTATTTTTTATCATTAAAAAATTTCATATTTATCACTACATAAAACAGAAATGACTTTTATGTTACTACCGAGTCAGTTTAGAATATTTATCCTACTTGTGTGCCAACAGGTCTTGTCGCTATCGTATCTCGACATGGTAGTATCCGAAGTTTTGAGGATGTATCCGGCGTTACCGTTTTTAGATCGTGTAACGACGGAAACTTACAAGATACCAGATTCTGATTTAGTTCTCGAGAAGAATACACCAATTTCTATCTCGTTACTTGGTGTGCACTATGATCCAGAATACTTTCCTAATCCAGATGAATTCGATCCAGAACGATTCACCGAGGAGAACAAACGTAATAGATCATCGTATGTCTATCTTCCATTTGGAGATGGACCACATACATGTATAGGTAAAGACATCGATTTTATCAGAAAATAAGACAAAATTATTAAATGTACAGAATCAAAACTAAATCAGTTAAAGTACAACTTCACATTTTTTGCCTTTTGTTACATGAATTACAAATCTCATCTATATGTATAAATCTACTCATTGAAATGATTTAGATACTGTCTAACCAAATTTTCTAGATATAAAATTTACGTATTTTTAATTATAACATCGCAAGGAAACAATATTATACAGTATTTTATTATTGATATTTATTGAGACAATGCCAATAACTTTTCTCTTATTTAGAATAATTTGTGGACCGTTTCATAGTATGTACTGTTATACATCTCATAGGTATCCGTATGGGACTTTTACAAGTAAAATTGGGAATTATAACAATTTTGAGGAAATATGAGGTGATACCATCCGAAAAAACTCTAATACCAATGGTTATTGAACCAACAAGTTCTATGACAGCGCCATTGGGTGGTACTATATATCTCAACGTTCACAAAATTAACAATAATGGTAATTAAAAATTAGTGTAGTATAATAATTTAACATATTTGAACTACGAGACACACATTTGCTCGATATTTCAAGAGTTTTACTGTAATAAATAAATATTTGATAAATATATAGTATATTTTTAAGGTTTTGTTCTATTTTAATATCTTAAGCCTTTTACCTACCTATTCCTTTTCTCGCAAGTTCGATGGATCCGTGTTTGTAACAAATCGAATGATTTGCTCGTACCGAGTTAGTGTCTGCTGTTTATCTATTCATAGACAATTAAGAAAGATTACGAAAAATGACATCTTCCAATGAGCAAATATAGATATATAGATACATCAACTGTTAAGAACAGAGATTAAAAGTTACGTGTATAATCTCGGGCCTACGTTACAATAATAATATACGTTTATGCAATGAGGACAAACCGGAAAGAGAATAGAAAGGGAAGTTACAATGCATAAATACAGTTGCGTGCATGATACTGAAGTTCATTTGTCTTCTGTAACTTGTGAAAATTATTATACATGCATTGAAAATATCGTATTGTAGTTTTTTAATATTCCGTGTTTCACTCAACGGTGAGAACTAATTTAATTTGTTAAAGAAAACAAATTTTTTCTAATAAGTTCTTTTTAACTCTCATGAAGATATTTTTGATAATCATACATCGATTATAGATCATTTAATATCACACCATGCAACTATTAGGTGATCATAATTATTTGTGATTAGTATACATTTATAAATATGTACTAAAAAGATTTTTTTCAAATGTCGATATAATCGTCATTTTTTGAACATATATATTTCCTAATATGTATTTATAATAAATATGTATTTATAATCTGTGCATTCTAAGATTACAAAAAATTGAAAACTATACATCCTTAAAAATAAATCTTATAAATATTTACTAATATTTTATGAATATTGTGAGGTGTTTGGGCATACCTACATAGAAAAAAATGTTACGGTTGCAACAATCAGAAATAATTTTTACCCAATATATTTGGTACATTGTGATAACATATGACGGACATATCTTGAACCCACAATCGTATTATAATTCTTATAACTAAAAATATATTGATGGTATTGGTATACTTTTAGTCATGGCAACCGTTTTTTCTATGCAGGTACCTTTCCAAAGGTATCTGTTACAGCACTATGTATCGTTAAAATAAAAGTATAATAACATTTCTTCAATGTGCTTATAAATAATTGAAGCATATTGCATTTCTATTTTTACATAAATGCAAAAAAACATTTTTATAGGACAGCTGCAAAATGGCACTAATAACGACTTATTGGGGCCTAGACGGCATGATCATTCTTACGACTTTCATAATAACTGCCTACCTTTACATGACACGCAAATTTAAGTACTGGAAGAAACGGGGTATTTTAGAAATAACACCAATGCCTTTCTTTGGCAATTTCAAGGAGTGTCTATTCCAAAAGAAAGCTCCGGGATATTTTCTGAAGGATCTCTACGAAGAAACGAAGGACCTACCTTATGTGGGCTTCTACGTGTTAGACAAACCCTTCTTGCTAATTCGCGATCGAGAACTCGTTAAAAATATTTTAGTGAAAGATTTCAATTATTTCTCTGATCGATACAACACGGCCGATCCGGTCGATCGCATAGGTTATGCAAATCTCTTTTTCATAAGGAATCCAGCCTGGAAAGTAGTCAGAACGAAACTCACGCCATTTTTTACATCTGGTAAAATGAAGAAAATGTTCGATTTGATGTTAATATGTGTAAAGAATTTAGATGAGTATCTTGATGCACTAGAATTGGAAGGTAAGTGTTGAATAATTCATAAAATATAAAATATTAAAGAACATAAAAAAATTGAAGTTTTAATATTATAATGTCACAATTTTGTATATAAAATAGTAAAAATTGATAATTATACAAGTATTTTTGATCAAACGGACTTTGAATATATTAATATGATCTTGTCCTTCGTTCTGAATTTTTAATAAAAACTAATTTTATAAACTATAATTAGCGTGTGTGCAAAATATAATAGATTTATAATCTGTAAAAGTTTTATCAATTTAAAAGATAAAGAAAGTAAATCAATAAGGCTATTTTTCGGCCGATACAATATTTTGAAAAATGTATTTTAAAAAACACAGTTTCTCGTATTGTACGATTATTAGGAATGCAAAAAAAATAATTATTACGTAAAAAAAACTCAAACTATAAAGGTATAATTAAATATTATTAATCTGGATGTATTGTTACAAAACCTAGCAACCAATTCTAAGCAATCATCATCAGAACTGTAAAATATTACATAACATTAATATGAATAGCATAACCATATATAATTAGCAAAAATATTTTTATTAATTCACTTATTAGTCATGAAAAGGACTTAGACTAATGATCATATAATAAAAAAAATTCTTTAAAAAATTTTTTTTAATTCTTAGCAAAAATCCCTCATTTTCTTATACAATTAAATTGTAATGTTACTAAAACTAATTATATGTATATTTGTCAAAAAATCGAAAAAATTATTTAATGTAAAATCACAATTTTATCTTTGCGGAAAATCAATTCAATTTTTAATGTATGCGGGTACACGCAATGATAACATGTTTATTTATGTTGATGAAAACATGAAATTATAGAATAAGATATTCATATAGATAAATAAATCAAACTAGTACTATAATATTAATGATAGGTAACGGAAAGACGATAGAAGTGAGAGAATTAACTGCCAAATTTGCTACGGATATTATCGGCAGTACCGCTTATGGACTCGATGTGAATTCGTTTAAAGATCCGAATGCAGAATTCCGCAAATACGGCAAGATGATATTTCAATATGATACATATCGCAGCTTTGAGATGCTCGCAATATTTTTCCTTCCAGCCATAGTCCGTTTGACACGAATAAAGATGTTCGGTAAAGAGCCCACTGATTTTATGCGTAAAGTTTTTTGGGAGACATTAACTCAACGTATGAAATCTGGTTTAAAGAGGAACGATCTTATTGACATTCTTCTTGAAATAAAAAATAATAATAATAATGATCAAGATCTTAAAGATTTCAGTAAGTAAAATTAACTAATTTTGTACTAAATAATTAATTATTTCTAAAAATTTTTGCAAATATTTCTTTAAATTAATAAAAACAAATAGAGATGTGATATAACTAATAATAATTAAAATATTAACCGACACGTTATAATTCTGATAACGAAAATTAATTATAACAACTGGAAATTTTTAAAAATCTACAAATGAAGTAAATTTTAGCATTTGATGGTGATGATCTTTTGGCACAAGCAGCCAGTTTCTTCTCAGCTGGTTTTGAAACCTCTTCAACGACTACAACGTTCGCGTTGTATGAACTCGCGATGCAACCTGAAATACAGAAAACTCTGCAAAAAGAAATCTTCGAGGCACTTGAGAAATCCAATGGAAAAATTACATACGATATGGTATGCAACTAATTATCTACTAATTCTCTTTTCTAAAAAAAGTTTTGCTTATTATTAGATAGTAATATCATTTGATACACTCTTAGTAATAATTTATATAAATTATAATGTAAAACAAATAAATTTCAAACCGAATGCCGCAGCGGTCTAAGCTGGATCACGGATGTTTCTAAGTAATTGCGTGTGAATTAATATACTATGTATGTAATTCTTCGATTGTCTCATTCGGTTTGAAATTTAGTGGTCCAATAAGAATTGATAATAAATTTTAAGTTAGAAAAGATGAACTTAAAGTCAAAATAAAATCTAAGAATTTTATTCTGCTTATTAATAACTTAAATGAAAAATTATCTTTATGTATAAATTTTTTATCATTAGGTCTGGTCATTACCATATCTCGATATGGTAGTCTCAGAAATATTGAGAATGTACCCGCCATTGGGATATCTAAATCGCATGGCTATGCAGACTTACAAAGTGCCAGAGTTCAATCTTGTAATTGAGAAAGGTACACCGGTTTATATTTCAATGCTTGGTCTACATTATGATCCAAAATATTTCCCCAATCCCAATAAATTCGATCCAGAACGATTCAATGAGGAGAACAAACGTAACAGACCACCCTGTGTTTATTTCCCATTCGGTGAAGGTCCACATGCATGTATAGGTAAGAGAGAAAACTGATTTTAATATCCTCTTTATTAGAATATCAATGTAAATATTTTCTTTTTTTTGTTCATATAATATTATACGATGCTGTTATATGTATTTCGTAGGCAATCGCTTTGGGCTCTTGCAGACGAAGCTAACAATACTAAAGATCTTGAGCAAGTGCGAGGTAACACCATGTAAAGAAACTTCGATACCAGTAGAAATTGATCCAAGAGGAGCTATGACAGTGCCGTTAAACGGTGTATTAAGTCTCAATTTCCGAAAAATTAATTCTAATGTTATTTAAAATATTTAATAGAATTTTTTATTTTAAATCATAAATGTACAATTATTTCTTTATACTAAATACGCGTTTTGATAAGAAACCTGCACAACTAAATATAAAAATTAATAAAAAAGTAAATATGTTGTATTATATTGTGTTCCTTGTGCACTAAATTGTTTTTAAAATAAATCGGCATACGATCATTTAAAAGATAAAACATATTGTCTCTTTGTTATATTATAAATCAATAACAAATGCTTAGTAATTGTACATTACTTTCAATGTAGCATTTAACATTTCTTTGTTTTTAATATTCTTATTAACGGTTCGAAAATTCAAATTACTTCAACCTTTTAAATTATAATAAAATTTTGAGTCTTGTTGTCGCTTATTCGCAGTTATGAGTGAATCAAATAAATAAGAGGAACGATTACACACAATGCAACGTATATTTTAACGTACAGCAAGATACAAGAACATGAATGCAAAGGTAACGGAAAAACGGAAGGTTAGATCAAAATCGCGGTAAATCGATTAGTTCGATATCAAGTATGGCGATCGACTTCTTCTATCTTTGTTAACAAGTATAAAGAAAAAAACGAGTCTAAATCAAGTGGTAATAAGATTTTTTCTAAAATAAATTTCTAGTTTACAATGTTAATACAGCATAAAAATAAAAAATATAATACATAAAAAAATATAAAAAATATAAAAATAATATCGAATGTTTCGAAACTCATGGGCCCTTCTTCAGCGATTCTTATAGATGTTACAATGTTATAGAGATGAAAGCATAATCTTACGGTCTAAGCGACATGGTGTGGTACAATTTGTTCTAAGAAATTGATTCTCCTGTTTTCGTATAAATGTGGAAATTAGGCGCAAGTGTTACAACACAATTATATTGTAACACTTACGCTCAACAAAATCAGAAGAATACGTAAAGATGCTCCTGTTTTCATATATTTTATTACACAATTTTCACTTTTTTTTGTGTAATAACTATCATTTTGCAAAAATTTGTATAAAAGAACTAATTCTTATATACAAGTTATGTTAAGATAAAAATCTTAATAATTTATTCGTCTTGTAAGGTGGGATAGATAATTGCTTGCTCACCTTCAGGAGAATGAGAAATGACCACGCAAGTTATTGCTACATAATGATTGTGCAGTATAGCTTCAGATTTCAAGAAAATCACACATAAATTTCGCATATAAAAACAGCAGTGCATAAACAGTAGTGTATACTTTTGTGATATCTTTAAACTTCACGTTACTTTCTCATTTATGAGCAATATCAACAAACTTAATTACACAACAGTAATTATTTATAATTTTATAATAAAGATAGTAATTAATTAATTTATTAGTTATTAATTAATTTAGTAATTAATTAATTAATTTATTATATCCTAGACTGAAATGTGTACTAACTTACGAACCAATTTTACTATCATAAATTATACATATGTTAATGTTTCTATCCACAAATAAAATTAACCGAGATAAAAGCGATATCAAACGTCGATTTGAGCGGAAAAAAACTTATAAATGTCCCAGAAATAATAAATTTGCGTTTTTATTTGTCATATATGTGTGCATACCTTACTTCAAAAGTAACACAACTCAAAAAATTAAGTTTTCTAAAAAAGGGAAAAATCTATTTTTCAACTTGACAGAAAATTTTTAATTAATCAAAAAATATCTACAAAAAGTACATATTTTTAACATAATAATGTTATCTTTATTTCATTAGAAAAATTTTTGAACTATTCTTTTTTGTTGTAATGATTTTGACAATTTTTTATAAAGTTAAGTTAGATCATTTTGGATGATTGGTAGAGAGAGATAATATTTATTTAATTTATTTACAGCAATAACTTGAAAATTACTACTTATATTTTTTAATTCAATGTTATTCAAAATATTTTCGTTTTATAAAAATTTCGATTTGTTATCGGAATCTTGATGTAAACTATTAATACTAATAAAAGTGTAATGAATTAATAATGTCATTGTTTATACATAAAAAAATTTTATCAAAATTTAATAACACTTTTGATTAATATTTATTAAATGTGTTTTCAAAGTCTAATAATTTTTTCTACAAGTTCAACGTATATTTTCACATAGAAATAAATTGATACTAAAAATAATTAAACATAATCAATTAATTATAAAGGATTTCGAGATTGAAGTGCGAGACTAAGGTATGAATATATTACATAGATGTAATAGCTATTAAATTACTCATTTCTGTAAAATATCTCTTTAGAGAGTAAAGTAACCATAGATTTCCACTAGAGACTGCTCAATCCGTCGCTTTTGCTAAACAATGGTTCTGGTGGGGCTGTTATTTCTATACTGACTGCGTATCATTTAACGTATAACGCCCGTGGAATTATTTTATCTTGATGTATATTAAATATTAAACAAAAACAAACAATGCTCACGAGCGTTACAAGTGTTAAGTGAAATGCAGCTTATATTCTCATACTCATACATATAAATCATTAAGATTGCGCTGTTATCTATCCCGGTTACGTGATATTTATTTTTGAAGTTAACACGAAGATCATGGTTATTTTTTTTAAATAGAATTATATGAGCCTTTTATAAAGAAATATAATTTTCCAAACTATTCTACATATGTGGTAAAAGTATATTATTTAGACATTGAAAAATAAATAATATTTCTGAGATTTGCAAGGGTATTTTCTTCAAATAAACTATGATTTGTGAAATATCTTAGTCTTGATATATCTTTGTAGATTATCTCTATTTGGTAATACTTTAGAAAGTTCGATGTACAATAATTCTTAGTTAGTTTGATGTTGATTCTCAGTTAGTTTTATTGGAAAACGACGTATTTAACGACGAGTGTGTGTCGCGTACGCCGAAAGAAGATTGGAAACTTTATCTTTGTACGAAAAAAATGGACCAGAAGTAAGAAGCTATTAAAAAAAAAAAGATTTTTATAAATAAGTATGGTAAAGTGAGATAAGGCATATTGAAAGTTATATTGCTCACGCTTTTATCGAATAAACTGTATGTTATACATAGAGTATTACATAATGGATTATTACATAATCGTAATTCTATTTTTTGTAAAAAAAAGACAAAAGTTATTTTTTTTATAATTATTTTCCAATTATTCTTATTATTTTTGTATACATATATAGATTGAAATTATATATATTCGTATATATATATGTATATTTGATTCTATATAAATTTTTCTACCGGAATTTTAAAAATGGTGTTCAATATATCATAACGATTCTTCATTAACATGTCTTTACTAAATAAACAATACTTATATACTTCTAGATTTCCTTAATTTTTTAAATGTAATTTTCTGAAGATAGATCACTTAATCATTATTTTGAAATTGGTAATGTATTTTGAACAAATGTCTCTTTAATCTCATAATTAAAAATATAACATTCCCTATTTTTACAAACACAAGAAAAAATATGTATAATATTTTTATAGAGAAGCTGCGAAATGGCGCTCATAATGGACTACTGGGGACTGGATGGCATAATAATTTTAACAATTATCATTATAACCGCTTACCTTTACATGACTCGCAATTTTAAGTATTGGAAAAACCGAGGTGTGTTGGAAATAACGCCAACACCTTTCGTGGGCAATTTTATGGAATGTCTGCTTCTAAAGAAAGCTGCGGCATATTTCCTAAAAGAACTGTATGACCATGCAAAGGGTGAACCTTATATAGGTTTTTATATTCTCGACAAACCTGTCTTATTACTTCGCGATCGTGAAATTATCAAGAACGTCTTGATAAAAGATTTTAATACTTTCTGTGACCGATACACCAAGGGTGATCCAAAAGACCGTATTGGATACGCCAATCTCTTCTTTATTAAAAATCCTGCTTGGAAAATTATAAGAACAAAATTAACCCCATTCTTTACATCCGGTAAACTGAAAAAAATGTTTGGTTTAATGTTAGAATGTGGAAATCATTTAGATGAGTATCTTGACTCACTAAAATTAGATGGTAAGTTGAAGAATGTTGAATGATTTGTAAAATTAAAAAAATGTTGAGCTATAAGAATTTCTTAAATAAAGACTAATTAAGTAACTTTAAAGTACTAACTAAAATATTTTATTATATATGTATCTTATATTTATTGTATAATCTATATATTTTAATCTTTACACAAAAAAATATTCACTCGTGACAATAAAAAATCGAGAATTAATATATTATCTACAATTAGATAAGTTTAATTATATATATAATTGAAAACATTGTTGCAGGTAAGGGACAAATAATAGATGTGAAGGATATAAGCTCTAAATTAACCATGGATGTGATCAGCAGCACTGCTTATGGACTTGACGTGAACACGTTCAAAGATTCAAATCTTAATTTTCAGAAATATGGCAAGATGATATTTAAGAATAATTATGTACGCGCTTTGGAGATGCTCGCAATATTTTTCCTTCCAGACATAGTTCGTATAGCTCGTCTAAAAGTATTCGGTGCGGAGACCACTGTCTTTTTGCGCAAGCTTTTCTGGGAAGTAATAACTAAACGCATGGACTCTGGCGAGAAAAGACACGATCTCATCGATATTCTAATTGAGCTAAAGAAAAACAGTCATGATGATAGAATTGAAGACTTTGGTAAGTAGACTTTGGTAAATAAACTTATATAGTTTATAGGTATATAAAAATATAAAAAAAGTATGTACCATGATACTTTACAATGACAAAATTGGACAAATAAACAATAATAACGTATAACATTAGCTCATCTTCTTTGTGTTTACACGAGTCTCTTGAAAATGTGAGCGCTGATCCCTCCATTACACGTTTCAACTTTTAAAACCGTTTGTACGCTTTAAAAACTTTCGCTTCTTCTCTTTCTCGGATGGAGAAAAACAGTGTTCCTTCCGTTTCGAACTTATACCTCGATTGAATTCGCATTGCGACTTATGGCATCCCATAACTACACTGTACGTATATTTTTCTCCTAATAAATCGTACTGATTAGGTGTGTACTCGTTTCTAATCCAGAGCTTCTGATATGTAAGAAAATATCGTACGGATGTCATCATACAATTCATCTATTCGCTCTGAAAAAATTTCGGTCCAACGAATGATTGTTAATCAATGTTCAACTTAATATCCAATTAATATATTAATACAATAATTGGATTCATTAATATAATTACATATTTAGTCTTGCAATAAATCTAGTAATAGTTTAATAATCTAAATTATTATGAGAATTAATTGAACCAATTTTTATTAATTCAATGAATATTTTAATATTTACGTACAGTTTTTCGGTTCAGTGCGCGAATCTCGTGCCATAAGACTATTACCCTTGCCGATTATCATTTCGCTTTCTACGTGTTACAGTAAAAGACCCAATTATTGATAATGTTCCAAATATCGGCAATCTGATTTTAAATGCTTTCTTTTATATATATAAATTATGTATTATAAATAATTATATTTAATTTTATTATACCAATAAGTAAACATTTTCAAAATTTAAGTAGAATTAAATACAATTACTTAATTGTCAGTACTTGGAACACTGTCAGTAATTACGTTTTTTACTCTATGCGCCGGTATTCCCTCTTCCGCACGTCCATTTACGAAAATCAACAACGCTGCGGTCTTCTTGGCGTGCTGCTCAAATGAATCGATAACTATTTTTCTTCCAAACGGTAATCGAACTTAATTGCAGCAAATAACGGAAGCTTTCAAAATTCTACAAATAAAATTAAATTTTAGAATTTGATGGAGATGATCTCATGGCACAAGCGGCCAGTTTTTTCTCAGCTGGTTTCGATACGTCCTCAGTGCCTGTTGCTTTCACGTTGTATGAACTGGCATTACATCCTGACATTCAGAACACCCTAAGAAAAGAAATGCACCAAGCGCTCCACAATTCCGATGGAAAAGTTACTTATGACATGGTGCGCTAATAAATCTATTCCATCAAATAATTAACTGTGAAAGATGCTGATATAAATATTCTTCAATATATAAAAACATTTTCATTCTACCAGATTATATCGCTACCATACATGGATATGGTGATATTGGAAACTTTGAGAAAATATCCACCATTGGGATATCTAAATCGTATGGCTATGCAGACTTACAAAGTGCCAAAGTTCAATCTTGTAATTGAAAAAGGTACCCCGATTTATATCCCAATGCTTGGGCTACATTATGATCCGGAATATTTTCCCAATCCTGAAAAATTCGATCCAGAGCGATTCAGTGAGGAAAACAAATGTAATATGCCATCATGCATTTACTTCCCTTTTGGAGACGGTCCACATGCTTGCATAGGTGAGAAAATTGATTTTAATCGTTATATCAAAAAAAAATTGTCAATCGCACGCAAAATTCAAATCAGAAAAAATGGAAGATGTATACTTTTTAACTACACAAATCTAAAATTTTACATTTAGACAAAAGTTACGCACGAGTTGTATTTGAATAATAAATTTGAATTTGGAAATATATAAATTAAGTATTGTATATATATATTTTAAGGTGTAATTGCAGTTAAATCATGATCATTGATTAGTTGATTACGCAATAATATTGAAGACGTCTTTTAAAATTTAACTAGACTTTGTGATTATATAATAGAATAGATGATTTCTCAATTATAAAGTTGCAAAAATAAAATCAATTAACTTATATAAATTAAGTTTTCATTAAAATAATATAATAAGTTATATTATTGTATATTTTGCAGGTACTCGCTTTGGACTTTTACTGATAAAACTGACGCTCATTAAAATTTTAAACAAGTATGAAGTAACACCATGCGAAAAAACTATGATGCCAATGATTATTGATTCAGCAATGGCTATGACAGCACCATTAAATGGCATAATATATCTCAACATGCGGAAAGCTAATATCGTTAATAATTAAAATTACTGATATATTACTGATATAATCATATTTTTGTATTAACATTTTACCATAGACTAATCTGTAAAAATAAATCGAGAAATATATTTTTTAATAAAAAAAAAAAAACTTCAATTCTTATTTCGGTATACTTTGGTTGTTGCAAAGTGAGAAAAATTCAATTCAACTAAACTTCAGAATCACATGACTCTACAACTACCAAGATAAAACTTAAAATATACCTTGCCTACTTATTATTAAATTACAAAAGATAATAATATAAAAAGGGATTTGTGTTAAATATTTCTTCATCACCCGCAGAATGATGGGTTTTTCTTTATTCGTCGACATTGTAAATATATATAGGAGGCAGCTACAAGAGCAGCCGGTCACATGCTGATGTGATGATATATATATATATACATATACAGCTATGTATATATCCATTTTCATTCACTTACTCTCATTTACAAAAAGACTAACGATCGATCACGCGGGCAAGCTACTCGCCGGGCGATCGACCATGTGGATTTACTTACAATTATGCATCGGTAATATATAACTACGACATCTTGGAATCGAATGGAATGATTGATACCATATATCGATAGTATCTTTCATATACTATATATACATATATAAATATATATATATATTTTTATATATAAATAAGTATACTTTTCTTCGCGCGTTTTGTTCAGTGACGGTAGGCTTTATAATATAGTTTGCGATGATTTCAATTCGTAATATAAATAATATACACACTTACATATGTATATCGCAATGATCGTATACATAAGCAGTTCTAATAATTTCCTTTTTCAAATATAATCCCTTTGATCGCATTTTATAGGAATGTTTATCATATATATAACTCAACAGGATCAGAGAATTATATTTGAAAACATATTTTAACTGTACAGAGACTACAGGACTGATAGGACTAATTTGTATCTTTCTTTTTCTCATCAGCACGCCGGCAAAATTAGAATAATATACACTAGATACTAGTGCAAATATCTTTTTACATTTCTTTTAAAACCTCTTAAAAGTGCCGGAAATGTCATTAAATGTAAAACAACGAATTAATGAGAAACAAGCAATTTTTAATAGTTTCGTTAAAAGTTAAATATTTTTATTTTAAAGTTTAAACGTTAACATAAATACAGAGTTAGAAAGTAGGTACTGCAACGTGAATTGCTTTTATTTCTAACTGTATTAGGAAGACGTCACAAATATTATGATTTTTTTTAGATATCTCTCTCTTTCTCTTGATTATTCTGTTTCTCCATAGATAGTAAAAGTACTGACGCTATATCCACAATTAATCTGATCGCGGTAAATGTTTCTCATCAAGTACAATTGTTCAATCTGTTTCGAGGTATTTCTCGTATTAACAATTATTGCGAAACAATCGTCAATTCTAAATAATATCGCATAAAGGAAAAAAAATACGCCGCCACTGAACAGCAATATAAATCAATACACCTCTTCCGCAATGCATGTGTGGGATTTCCATCGATACTTTTCACACAGAATTATACACGCTTCATCCATACACAATACCATAACATAATATCAATAACATTATAATATCGCGCTAGTAACTCGCCCGCGAGCATTAACTATATTTTTGTTCTTCTCCCCTTAACTCTTCATATATCAGATAAATATATATAATCTATTTATTTATTTATATATATAATTACTTTTGTTCATTATGTGTACATGCATGTACGTGTATATATATCATATACATACATATACACACAGATATATATATATATAGGATATTCCATTTTTATCGAATTATTTTATATCGATATAGATACAGATATATGTATATGCATCACATATATCTGTATGTATATACACGTTCTCACGTGCATCCAAATTATGTCGTACGCATAAATTTCATATATAATTAACATTCCCCTAACGATGAGACCGATGCAACGATCGCGACTGATTTTTTTCTTACTTTTCTCTTGGCAATCGGTGACTTAATTTACCATGTGGGAAAGGGACGGCGCGAGACGGAGAACGGATCATGTATAAACACGAAATTTGTCCACATGATTCAGTTATTTGAATTCACGAAGGACACACATCGAGAGGTTTCGTATTAAAATTCGAAATCACTACGGTACACAAAGCTGTTTAATTAAAAATAATATTAATCACAATTTGAAATGTGTCAACAAAGCTGCACTATTTAACATCTTTATAACCGTATTTTACTCAAATATGTTCACTGTGCATTGAGCTTACGCCACTTCTACGAACATCTCATATGTCGCTATGGTAATAACATTTTATAAGCTCGTTAATTATTTTAATAATTATCGAACACTCAAAAGGATTTCAAATTAGAAATGGCATTATCATAGCGGATTACTTTTTAACAGCAACTGCGGTATAAATGTTAGCATAGAGCAATTATTCAATAACTAATAATTTAATTTAATCATTAATAATCATTAAATGTAAAAATATATTTTATGACTGAGTAATAAACCAAATTTATTTTCTATCAACATCAAGCCGTCTTATTTTTACGTGAGGACGAAAAATACGTGGAGGAAAGTTTGGAAGAAGTAAGAACTTTTTTCAGAAGTTCTAAAACAATTGCAAAACTTCTAGTTTCCTTTCATATTATTTCTCTGTGAATGCTAATATTAGCTCTAAAAGAAACATTTAAAAAATTGGTAACTTTGGTTAAACAAGATTGTCGTATACACAATAAATCGGTAATTTTGGTATAAGAGGGTATAATAATAATAAATAAAGTTAAGCGTGTTAAACACCGATTTCTTCTCTTCAACGTTGTTAACATGGAAATGGAGACCAATGAATTATGCGAATGAGTTTAAATGTATTTTATCCCAATAATTGACGACGATAATTGGAATATGAGAAAAATTCTAGAGGGACTAAAGATTCAATTGACGAGTAAAACGATACCGTATAATACGGCTCGATTGGCCCATTGCATTCCTTTTCATATTTTAATATATTTCTTTTTTATTCATTTATTATGCATCACTAATTATTAGACATTGGAGAAGCGATGATCAATATTTCAACGATCTTATAAATTGAATTTTATTCCACATTCTATTTTATGAAACTTAAATTTTAATTTAAATAGAATTTTTGGTTATCTCTGAAAATCATTGATTATGTTTTCATTAAGTCTTTGAGAAATAGTCGAAAGAGTCGAATAGATAAGAAATTGTAGATAAATGTGTGACTAGTTTTGGAAAAAAGTACCCAAAACTATATTGCCAAATTTAAAATTTAAAAGAAATTTATAAAAAATTACACTGTTTTTATTTGTAATTGTAAGAAAAGTCTTTATATTAGAAAATTTTGAAAACTGAGATAATTTTTCATATTTTCGTGACAAGTTCGTTTAACACAATGTAACAACAATTATTAAATAATTGATAAATTCAATTTTTTCGCTATCTTTGTGTATAATTGCAAAAAGTTTTAAAAATAATTAGCTTTTGAGTACCTTTTTCCAATATCGATCTTCAACACTAATAACGATCAGGCACAAAGAGCAAGCGATACAAATGAAAAAAGAACATTTGATTTTTTCTATGATATGAAATAGAAATATTTTAGAAACAGTTTGGTCATGATATAACTCTTTTACAATAAATACTTAATTATTTCATTCAAGTTTATCTATACAACTCGATAAAAAAATGCAGTTTGATCATATTCTCATTAACATTATCAGTCTGCAGTTTTAATATTACATCAAAAAAATTAAAAAATTCATCTTTGTTTTTAAAAAATAATAAAAATATTTTCACATTATTCACAGTATCCTATTTTTAGATATTTTGCACGATATTTCATTGATTCGGATAAAATCTAATTGAGATTGCAATTTCTAGGTAGAAATTTTATTTCTACGATTATCTGATAATCTTATTTTAAGAATCAAATGCCTTTTTCCATCCACATCACAAATTGAAAATTTGATTATTCATTACTATAGTATACGTCATTACATACGTTGACGCCACTTTCTCATAATCGCATTTTCTACTTGTTTCAACTTTTGTTTTTCTTAAATGTCATTTACTATTTTTTCGATAGTAGCTTTTTTATATTGTAGGAAAATGTGAATACACTAATTTAATTCTGAAACTCGTGAGAGTTATAAAAGATTTACTGTGTCTGGTATAATTATCTGTTTTCGATTTTGTGTCCCAACAGTAGAATTTGCTGAATAAAAAGATTGCGCGGTTGACGCAATCTTTATTCTTTTTCTTATACATAGAGTTTAAAATTAAAATTAATTATTTAATGGTTTTACACACAGCTTTTTTCCGCTTGTGTCGTCATGCATTCAGTTCCATTTAATTTAACCGACAAATCTTAATTTTACGGCATGGAAAAAAGAGAGAAAGGAACAAATCATTTATAATATAATCGGTCAAATAATTAGCAGAATCGTTCACTCGTTCGCTCGCTCGCTCATTCGCTCGCACATCGAGTTTCTTCTCGCGAAGACCGTCACAGAAAATAAAACGCGCCTGAAACCAACTCTTTTTCCTTAAAAACAATAACGTTAGACTAGAATTCAACAATACATACAGTTTTTAATCGCTGTACAAACGCAGTTGATAAAGTATAAAAGTATAAACAGCTAAATATGAAAAGCAGAGGACGCTATATAGAAGTAATTCGTACATAATGCGTACGTTAAGAAACCAAAATTATACTATGTCTGAATTTTTAAACGGAATAATCGCAGGAGAGGACAATTCGTCGAGAAGAGAACCATTAAGAATTTGATGCTTCTCTTTTTCGAAGTTTACTCTTTCTCGCAGTGTTTGACGTTTGAAGAGACGCTGAGAATATTTCACAATAGTTCTCCATCCAATCCACCAATCTCTTTCAACAAATTTCAAATAGATCTGTTTTCCTTGATTGATACATCAGCGAAAACAAATCATTTTTCAAGCTTGATTGCACTTTAGTGATGTAACTGGATAAGAAATAGTCCGCCATACAAAAAGAACGATTTTGCTGAAGTATTTACAAATTTAGCTATATATAGATCTGAAATTAATTTTATTGGATTATTGTCAAAACATTTAAGTATATTGTAGTATATTAAGTAATGCTGCAAAAAAAAGTTTTGACATTTTAGCAGCCAACTTAAACGTCTTAATTATGATTATCCTAATTATAATTATTTGATGGTCTAACGAAGTTATTTTTAAATTTATATCCAGCTAAATTCAAAGAAGTTACGTGATTATCTCTCCGTGTTTTGATCATTAAATGCCAACATTGCAGTTAACTTCATCAGGGCAAAAAACAATCTGATACTTTAGGGGTCATAGTTTTTCTAAGAGATTCTATTTATATGCGCTGCTCAGATCTAGTTAAATATTTAAATATTTCAGCAAAATCATTTTTTTCTACATAGCCGTTCTCTGACCAAATAAATCGACGAGATTTTTCACCGCGTGAATCGTCTCGACGAACGGTACAATAATTATTCCGACAAATCTATCTCATTTTCTCTTTTTACCGTGGCAACTGCTAGTTTTATGAGATGAAGTCTTTGCGAGAATAAAAATAATCTAAGAATATTCTAGGATTCGAGAATATATGTGTGTATATATATATATATATGTATATATATATATATATATATGTGTCTCTTTTTTTTAGAATTATCTCGGAATAATCATGTGCTCTTTCGGAAAACAGTAATATATCTCCATTTTGAGAATATTGTCCGGGAATTTTGAGAATATTGTCTAAAAACACGCGATCATTCTCGGGATATTCTAGAAACAGTCAGAGAATATTCTCTTATCCTTACATCCTTGATTACATATTCGTGAAACTTAATCGTACATCAATACGACAGAGCCACGTTTATACATCTACTTGTTTGTCTTCTTCCTCTTCTTTTCCGTTTAATTATCCACTTGTTCGTGTATATTATAGATTTATATATATTTTGTTTTACGCACGATGGATATGTATATATCCTTACGTCTTTGTATACATCTGCACTTTATCTATATTTATATATATATATATATATATTTATATACATATATATAATAACGAACAACATTAATGATTACTCGTTAGGCTACTCTTTAATTGGACAATAAATAAAATAGTTTATGTATATAGCGTACATTTCCTTGTATTCCACAGGCCGTAAGTGCCCTTCACAAATAAATGTATTCCGATTTTTGCGAGCGTCATGACGTAAAACACTCAAAGTCGATAACACGAAATAATATGGTCGGTCTGAGGATTCCTGCGCGAGAAGATTTTAATTCAATTGCGATAATCATGTATATTATATGTATCTTATATTTTCTCGATAAATGGCATGCTCGAGCAAATGCGTTCATTTAAATTGACCGTTTTGAATACATGGAGAAATATTTAATTCGTATATTACAAGTGCATCGTGCGCTGCGAATTGTAAATTACTCACAAGAATTTATGATACATTTTATTTCGCAAAATAGAATATAGTTGACATATTCGATTGAAAATTTAGTCACCGCAATTATTAATCTATTAACAACAATTAGTATCGCGACGAGAGAGAAGTACGCGAGATAATTCCTGTGCATTAGAAAATTTAAACGTTTTAAAAAATCTTTTAGAAATCATTTTATTCGTTTTTTTTTTTTTTTTACGAATATGAAGACGATATTCTTGAAAATTTCTTGGTCTAAATTAGCCTCTTTAGACATTGAACGCTTGAATCTTAGCTATTGCAGCAGAACAAGTTCTCAGGCCACCAACCGCGGAGACTGAGTTTCTTGTCCGAGGAATCCTCGACCACCAGGACGTATCACTTGATCTCCTCTCTGCTGGGCGACCTCGGTGGATGCGGTGACAACGGCGTTTCGTTTGGATGTCTTTTCGGTCGGAAGCTGGCTGTCAATGAGGATATCCAGCCGCTTTGCGATCCATGATCGTGCAAAGAATCGCTGTTGCTATTGCTCCGAGTGCTATCGATGCTCATACCAGATTTAAATCGCGAAAATAGTCCAGGTGACGATTTTTTTGTCGTCGCGGGCGAACAGAATGCGGAATGCTTCTTTCGTGATTTGGACACTTCTTTGCAGAGCATTGAGTCTAGACTGCCGGTGTGAGGACGCTCCTCCGCTTTTTTAGGATCCAGCACGCCTAATACAGCAGCCTCCGCTGCCTGTTTCGCCATTTTAGATATATCCTCCATACTAGCCGAACTTCTTCTGATTTCTATCTTGCCAAGATCTTCTTCGATATCGCAGCAGGTATCGTCTGGATTGACTATAATTTCAGGCTGTTGATTCTTCGAACGAACGTCTATCTCGTGAAACTCGATGTCCGGAGTTTGTCGAGTTTTCGTTTCCTTCAAGCTTTGCGACTTGCCCTCGGGATTTGACAAGTTTCTGCGGTGTTTGGAAAACGAACGGGAGCCGGAACTGGCTGCTGGCAAAGCCTCCAAAGAAGTGGACGACCTTTTCTCCTTAGCGAATACCGTTCGCCAGCTCTTATTCTTACTATCCGTGGACTTTCGAACTTTTGGCAAAGTCATCGCCCGTTTGTCCACCGGCGATAACTCCACGACGGTTGCAATGGCTGTCTTGTTGCCATCCTTTATTGAGGACTTAATCAAGTTACAGCGCTTGCAAATAAACAATGAGTTGTTGTACCTCGATGAGGTAGTCGTAGCTGAACCACTACTAATCGAGTTACTCTTATTGAGCATCTTCGAAGTATGCTTCGGTTTCGGACTAGGCGAATCCTTTGAATCAAAGCTCATGCTAAGACGATCCGTAAAGTTCCTCAGTCGCGAAAATAGAGACTTGTTATTCGGCCCAGTTTTGTCGTCGCAGCAACATCGCACACCGACCGACTCCCGACTGCTATGAGCATCCCTGCGGCTTGGTCTGTTTTCGTGATCGTTCTCTATGACATTGCTAATTTTCCTCACATTATTCTTCGGTTGCGAGCGGGCCTCCACTGCGACGACATTACCGTTTCCCTCAGGCGTCTTGCTTTCAATCTTGGCATCTAAAATAATCGTCTCCTTCTCCGTCTCCTCAAGGATCCGCGTTCCCTCGGCAGACCTCGCACTCACCGGAGAGCTCAAGTCACTACCGAGATTTTCGCCTCTACTGCGTCTCCTTTCATAATCGTGGTCACGGACAGCTTTGGCTAAATCGTGGTTGTGATAATCCAACGAAGACTTCTCCCGGCTGCCCTTCCGACTGCCAGGATAGCTCTTCCGACCGGAGGTCGGACCAGTCAATGTTCCCTCCGTAGAGATTTTGAACTTGAGCGTCTTTTCGCTGATCTCTACCTCCGTGGCAGTCTCCGGATCAGAGCTCTCGATATTTTCCGCTTCCTCCATCGTCAAGTTTTCTGTGATATCATCGTCGGTGGAACGAGAACGCGAATGAATTGTCGTGGCGGACCTTTTTGAGCGCATGCTATGCGACGATGTAGACTTAACAACGGTGGAAGAACTACCGGTAGCGATTGGCGTGTTAGACGGAGCCGACTCCCCGATATCCACGACGCTTCTCCGATGATGACGCTCATCTTTGGCTGCTTCGTTCAGTCTGCGATAATACTCCAGAGCTTCCCTGACCGGTTGAACTATGAGATCCTGAAAAACACAATTTCATATGGATTTAGTTATATATAACTAACTATATATACTGCTAATTACTTCCAGACACAAATAGATAAGTTTATGTATGAAAAGATGAAATACCTGCAACTCGGGTAGTAGTTCACCGAGAGCTTCGAAGAGAGGAAGGAGAACTAGGCCGATGAAGCTAACTTGGGAGGACGGCTTGGTCACTTTATCGCGATCCATGAAGGGCGTGACCGGAAGGCCCTCGAGTTTCTCCGCGTCGCTCTGCTTGAAGAACTCTTGAAGCAATCTGTCTAGCCACGGTTCCGCGACTTCCATCGGTCGTGCCTCGTTGCTTATATCAGCCACCTTGATCAAGATCATGGACAACTGCAAAGCGTAAATAAGAAATTAAGTAGATCCGATTAAATACTTCATTAAATTGACTTCATTAAATACTTCAGTCGTCGGTAAATTACCAGATTTATGTGCGCCTTGCTGGTATAATCGAATTCAGGAGTAATGTCGATGAACTGGGCGAGAATCTCATTGTGCCGGGCCATATCAGTCGCCAGAATGCATCTTATGATGCCTTCGCGAACTATTCTGTACGTAGAGTTGTCCAATGACGCGAGAATGTTGCACTCGGGCGCCTCTAAGACTCGGAATGCCACAGAGCAATGATGATTCTCCAGGGGCGAGATATCGTTGTAACGTAACGCCAGCTCGGTCCGCGCGTTTATTTGATAGATATTATTGTAGCCAGGATGATCAAGATCATGGCAGATACAGGAAACAATAAGTATGAGGACCTCGAGATCGCCAATTTTCGACGGAAGGTCCACTGCCCAGGCTATCGCGTACATCTAGATACAATCGATTAGCACTGAGCGGATAACTCAATTCGATCTGTAGCTATAGAGCGTACAGTTATGCATGTATTTTAATTCCTTGAAAAATAATTCGATTATATTATACTGTACAATAATGCAGTTAACGCCAATTAATAGATGTAATCAAACAATTAGTGTTTGTCGTAATTACTGTGCAATATTGTTCATCACGCTTATTATTATATATCTTCTCGCACATCAACATGTAATTATAATCACGCTACCACATAACCGTTAATTCTTCGCGGGAAATTGTGCGAATTAGAGCAGTACAAAGACTAAGAAATACTCACCATTTGCGCCACGCAGAAGCAATGCCTGAAATTGTGAAATGGCACCTCGTTGTAATTATTGTAGACTTCGTAGAGGAAGTTCCTCAGAATCGGTAAGGGAATGCTGAATTTTTGAGGTAGGTCGAGCTCAATGAACATCGTCTGCAGCATCAGCAACAGCTCCTCGTCTTCCCACTGTCGTGCATCGAAGGCAGGCGAGCGTAACCACTCGCGAACGTTCGACGAAACCGTCACGTCACTGAAAATTATACAGAAAATTATAATATATTTACCATTTTCTACCAAGACACGATGGCATTTTCATATTCGTGACATGTGTTGATAACTTTACCAACTAATAATTAATTTAGATATGTTTAATTAAGTTATTCCTCATTTCAATAGGATAATAATAACCTTAAGAAATAATAAAAAATTTTAAGAAAACAGAAAGTTATTAATTAACCACTACGATTGATGATTAAATTAACACCTATCGTTTTCTTCATCACAGGATCATAGTTGTTTATTTCGTCATTACAAATTATTACCTCGTTAGATAATCTTTTGTTCTATTTTATTTTATTCGAAAAAACGCCCTGAAATATATCAATTTGAGGGAATATCAGACAAAATTGTTATATGAACATACAGAACTATGTTAAAATTGATTTATCGAGAGGGCAAGTACCAGAGCGTCAATTGCCATACGAAACTTCGCACCCGCGTCAGCAATCGGTCACCCAGGCACGCAGGATTAATCGGATTAATTGGTAGAGTACTTTGGCCAACAGCTCTTCGCTACTTTGACAGATAATGGGTTATCTGCTCGTGCTGCTAAATCAACACGGGCTTAACATACGTCGAGACAAACGGAATTGTATCGGACGCGGCATCGATTCGCCAACATCACGTAGAGTATTGTCACTTATATCACCTCTCCCCAGAATAGCTACGTGCCTAAGAGATGCAATGTCCAGCATAACATAATTTATGATAATACAATCGATTCGTTGTAAATTCATTAAATCCTCTGGAATCAATCGAACCACATGTGGTGTTGCGTCACAACGATGAAATGGTGTAATATAATTACATCGTATATACGTGTCTTTGAATATAAAATAATATTTGCATAATTACACATTGTATCTCTCGCTAAATGAATAATGTTTAGTTGCAACATCTATTTAAAAAAAAATGAAGTTAAACGGACAGCACATCGAAAATTGATTATAATCACATCTCTTTGTTCTAAATTACTCTTTATTATAATAAGTTAATTTTTTATTCCAATTGCATTCATCGTAATAAATAAATTGTAGAAGCTTTTGTAGTTTTTTATATCTTTCCTAATCATCTCCCATTTTCTTTATTTATTCGGATTTTTTGCAATCTTCCTATATCTTACAGAAACGCGTTTAACTCGCCATACACATGAAACCGCGCAATTAGCAAAATAATGATTGCATAACACGTAACATCGTAATTAGTGCTGGAATATTTTCTGTTACTATATTCATCTTTGAATGATAGAAAGCTAAAGGACAGTAGCTAAAAAATAATTCTTATTTCAATGAAATAGGTAACGAAAGTTAACAAAAAAATCATTACTTTGAAATGAAGTCTTTGACAATAAGTGTGAATGGCGTAAGCTGAAGATGCTCCAGAAGCGTCTTACGTTCTTCCAGTCGCAAAAGACAACTGGAGCCGCGGAAAACGGTCTTGCGCGAAGACCTTTGCAGCATATAGGTACAGACGCTTATTTGCTAACGACCGCTAATTGGCAATCCGTATTTAGCTAGGACGTCGAATCATGGTACGCGTGATAATGCACGCTTTGTGACGCGCTCGCTATTATACACGCCCCAAACCGTGACGGGCCTTATTACCTAGATAACAGTAACTTAATAGCATTTCGCGGTAACGCGACAGAGGCCAACTAACCACTGTCGGAGGGTCCGTCACGGTGAACGGAAGCGAACGGAATCCGCGAGTGAATGGAGGTGCTATGTGTGCATAGCATCTTCGGTATTTTCTCAAGTAGGCAGCTTTTATTTTACGCTCTTCAATGCGTTGATATTCTCACGTTTCTTCCTCGATACAACATACAGTTTTAATTTATTGTTACTGCAAAATTATGGTTTAAATCTTTTACTGTAGTATTTATCGAGTACATGTTATTATTGCATTGACTGTACGAGAATCCTTTGTCGCATAACTTTTTTATAATCATTATCGATAAAATAAATGTAGTGTATTATTTGGTGTGGATTTTGCTTTTCCAAAATACATATTAAAAGTAAATTTATAATTCAATAAAATGTAATTTTTTGATATAAAAAAGACTGTAGAGTAAATCGACAATTGCGACATGTTTAAGCAGGGAAATGATTTCTTAACGAAACATGTGGAACAGATTTTTCCATACATTTTCAAAGAGGATAGTCTCGACGATCGGGGTCACTATTCGCGTAACTTTTTTTCTGAATATCTCATCAGAATAGAAACTTGTGATATAGAAGGGTTGAACGGGAACAAGCCGGAAGAGAGGAAACGATTATGGCACACAGCGTTTACAGCTTTGCCTCGATGAGGAAGCTTAGCCCGGAAGCGCTCCAACTTCTCCCCGCTGCAGCCATAATCGTTTGCGAAGAATCGCTAGTAAATTGCGGTAAACGGTAGCCCGGTTTAATGCACCGTACCAAATCGCCGCGAGTATAACGCTTCAAAGGAACAGAAACGCATCTTGCCGCGAATACCACCTAAATGGCACGATTTGCATGTCGATGCGACGTGTGCGTGACTACCACCGGAGACAGAAGCAATTGGAGAAAATATTTCTCAACACATATTATTCACTTTATCACTAATCTTTTTCACATATCTAAATATCCCCGATAGTTTTCTAAAGAAAAAAAGCATAAATTAAATATTATATAATCATGCGAATCAATATTTACTGATTAAATTGAATCATTCTTAATAATACAATTAATGTGTGGCAATCATGGCGCAGAGAGAGTTATGTATCCGTTCTCTGTGCTAAAGACTCGGTAAATATATATTCGGCTAAAAGCATCGAATTTTTATTCAACTACAGAAAGTAACCTCTGTGAAGTTGGCACCTCATTTTTAAAAAAATGAAATTTTCGACAGAGTTCTGAATGCACCCCAAAGAGTTCTGAAGTTCCTACCTAAAATAAAAAATAGTTCTGGCGAATTAACACTAAAAATCCAGAATTTAAAATTTGAGGTGCTGACTTCACAAAACGCACAACGAAAAATTGCGATATCTTCTAAACCATTAGTCATAGTGCTTTAAATGCTAATAACTTTTAGTAGAACTCTTGGGGTACTATCCAGAACTGTCAACAGAACTGCCGTAATGTTAAAAAAAAAAATTTTTTTATTTTTAAATACAAAAAATTGCGATATCTCTAAAACCGTTAGTCCTAGCGCGTTGAGTATTAAGAACTTTCGTCAGAACTCGTGGGGTGCTACCCAGAACTGTCGACAGAATTCCCGTAACTGTAAACAATTTTTTTTTAGATTTGTCGTACGAGAAAAATTTTTTAGAGTTACGTGAAATAAAAAAACTATTTTTTATTTTAGGCAGGAACTTCAGAACTCTTCGGGGTGCATTCAGAACTCTGTCGAAAATTTCATTTTTTTTTAAATAAGGTGCCAACTTCACAGAGGTCAGAAAGTAGCTGCGTCATAAGAGATTTCCTTAACTGTTCGGAATCGAACAAAGTTAAAATGTGTAAGTTCCATATATCTGCTTATAAAAAGAATTTTCCATTTATTTTTACAATGACCTTTCCGGCTGCACTAAGACTTCTGGAATATTTTGTATATGTATATATGCGAGAATTTTGCTCAATACGTTAATAATTTATATGACAGTATTTCTTAAAGTTGTAAAATAAAATTTATTACAATGTAAAAATAGGACGATATTTATGCAATTCTAAACGCAATCGTGCTACTCGAGGTACTCGGAGAATTAACACGCGACCAAGCTCTCTTGCTTCGAATGCATCTGCATAAGAGTACACTTCGAGGCGAAATAGGATTGGGTATCTTAAGCCGCCAAAATAACTTCGTGGCTTCGCGAGAGAGAATCTCGGGAAAACTTTGGGAAATCCTTCGGAAGTCTACGGTCCCTGCTCATAACCCATTTGTTGATTTTTCTCCGAGAACTTTCTCCTCTCGACCGATGATAAATTACGGAAGTTTAATTAGTGGTAAAGTTTAACGCGCCCGCGTCAACCGTAATCATGTTGTTATACTTTGTGCGACGTGAAATATTCCTGGAAGTTCCTGGATGAAAATTTATAACGCGCGCGCGGTACCATTTGCACGACGCGAAATCATAATGGCATTTAAAGGTTTACTGCATTACCCGCTATACGCCCGATTCGCGCTCGTTGCCCATTATTACATTCATTTTGATATTGATTCTCCCAAACATCCTAGTCAGTCGATAATCAGATTACATGCCACGTATGCAAATGTATCTCGCAGCCGTGTAACAGCTCTTCGAGCGAGATGTTTTAAAGCCCTCCGAGTCAAATGAGCCGCAAGTTTATCGCTTCACTTGCGTCACGCTACGCCCTATGAATATAAAGGAGGAAATTACGTTGCAAATACGACAAAAGACATATATATGCAATGCATATGTAGAAGATACTCCGGCGCGTAATTGTTTTGCCTGATATTTTTTTAATTTCTCACGTCGTATATTAACTCGCGCATTCAATCACGCTGATTTAGTAGTCGTGCGCAAAACAAGCTCAGAAATTACTCTATTCCAATATCGGAAGATAGAAAATTTTCTCGCAATTGTAGAGCAAGTGTAAATGAAAAATTATACATAAATTCATGATACACACTGTGTCACATACACACACACACACACACACACACCTTCCTGAAAGACGTGGCGAGAATTGACTCTAAGACAATCAAGCCTTGAAGCTGTCGATACAGGAACGAACAGATAAAGACTTCACACGAAGTCTATTATAGAGGATTGATATTGTTGAATATCGATCTTCTTAAATATCATATTTTTCCGCTCTTTACGTGGAAGATAACTACAGTGGAGATGCGCTGAAAGTATTAAAAAGGCCTCATGATTTTCTCGACCGAGCTGCGTGTGTCACGCGTCTAAACGTACGACGTGCTTCATAAAGTGCCATCCACGTAAAGCCCTCGAGGGTGGAAGGTTAAAGTTCTTCAAGGTCTCTCTTT